TAATGCCACTTAATCATGCGTGTGATTAGCAGTATGCATATATATATAATATTTATATTATATATAAACCTACATACACACAGTTATATGACATTCGTTGTGTCAAAAACATTTTCTCACATTAATTTTTCACTCTTTTGCCGTTTTCTTGTCGCTCCCTTCAATTTAAGCATTTTGCTTGCGATCTTTGACCTCTGTGTTTTAAGTAAATAGTAAACAAATGCCTTGAGTGCTCGAGTGGTGCTAAAACTAATGTGATATATGCATGTGTGAGGAGTAGATACAGTTCACACTTACACGCATATGTAAACATGTGTGCATGTATATTTTTAAGTTACAGTGTAGTGCTGGCAACATTTTACAGCAACATATGTTTCCAACATTTCAACACCGACATGACAAGCACAACGATTTTGTTTGTGAACACGGATAAAGGCGCTTGCTGAACATTTGAATTTTTTCCTAAAAAGATTAAAATAGATTGCAGAGAAAGTTCATTGCCACATTCTAATTTTAAAAGTGAGGAAATTGAAGGACTTTCCTTTGGCTTTCTTTATATATGTATATACATTGTATATGTACATGTATAAATTCATTGTTTATATTACTTTTTTAATTGATTCAATTTTCTTGAACACATTAGGGTGGTAGCTTTTTTAAAAACAGTATCTTAAACAAGATATTAGGGTGTTACTTTTTTTTAAATTTACATTTCTGAATGTACATGTATTAAGTTTGCCGCGACGTTCGAAACACCCAAAAGAAAACGTCGAGGAGTATTTTAAAGTCTGAATGTCTGTCTGGTCTGCCTGCCTGTATATGAGCTATGTAAGCTCTCAATTTTTCAGCTAGCGATCTGAAATTTGGAAAAAGTAATTTTCTCCACAAGAAGCTGCTCATTAGTCAGAACTGCGGTTATCGGAGCACTCTATATTATAGCTGTCTTAAAAATTGATTACTCAAACTCAAGTCTTTGTAAGAAAAACTTTTTTATTTCTCAAGTTATCTTCACGAAATTTGGTAGAGAATATTTTCCAAGATAACACTACAATATTATTATGTAATGTTCAGATCGGACCACTATAGCATATAGCCGCCATACAAACTGATCACTCCAACTTAAGTCCTTATAAGGAAAACTTTTTTATTTGAAAATATATCGTCACAACATTTGTCGTAAATTTTTCTTCCATGCAGAATTGCAATCTCGAACCAAAATTTTTCTGATCGGATCACTATATTATATAGCTGCCATACTAGGTGACCAAAATCCAAATCAATGTAAAAATATTTTTACACCCTTTACGCTACAAGAAATGCAACTGTGAAGGGTATTAATGTTTTGGTGCAGTTTTCATGCTTTTCTAAAATTAATTAGCACATTAGGGTGGTGCATTTTTACCTATTCATCTGTTTTTTATATAAATAAGATGAAAAATATATGCAGGAATAAAGAAATATTAATTTTTAGAGCAACAAAACCAACAACTTGCATTCCACACATAAAAATATACATTCTCACATATTAACATGCCACGTTTACAACGAACTAGCAAAACTTCTGATTACACCGTGCAACATTTTCATTCATAAATGATATTAGAGTGGCGTTTGCTTGCAACATTGTCATTCACAACTCTGCTATATGTATATAAAACCAGATATATATACAATATGCATGCATATGTATGTATGTAGGTATATATGTATATATGATACTCGCCATTCGCACCTTGGCTGTCATATAATATTGTACTTTATGAAATTCCTTGACTCTTGACTGCTGCTTACATTTTAATTCAAACTTCTTGCAGTCGTAAATTCTCATCCGCAACATTTTTCACTGAACTCGAGTGCTTCGTACTTTTCCTTCAGTCCCTGCTTGGCAGTTTTGCTTTGGCTTGTCTAACTCATCAGCT